ATTGAAGGCAATACCCGTGATCACTCGCCATCCGGCGAGGTGCTCTCATGCGTTTCGAGGACGACCGCTGGACCAGAGCGATCACCGACTGGATTCCACGGGATGTCAAGCGAACGCCTGGACGACCGCCTATGCGATGGTCAGACTTCTTCGTGAAAGCTCTGAACGAATGGTATGAAGTTCATCGTGTCCCTCGAGCAGAGAGAGTTCATTGGGCAACTCTTGCACGTTGCAGGGACGAATGGAGACGTTACTGGCGCCCGCTCGAGGAACTCGATGATCAACGGGAGCACAGGTGATACAGTGAGGTGACGCAATTGGCAGCTCCTACGGTAGTTACGCCACCTCTGTTCTGCAGTTAAAGTAGATAGTCGCTAAAACGCTTTTTTTATTTGCAATCAATAAGTAATTACATCAATTATGACACAATCTACATCTCTCTGAAAGTCCAACTGGAGCTGGTACAATAGAATGTCGAAAGAGGTAGATATAAATTGGTATATGGCATGATGAGAACACATTTTATGAACAGACCCTGAAGTTTGAAGCCTATAACCTGAATATGGTCACGGATGGATAACGACGCAATCAGTCGGGGTGGTTTTGAGAGGGATGGAATGAGCCTCATCAGCGCTTTCACCACTGGTTGAATTCTTACTGAATCGACCGCTATTGGTAGAGCCAGAGGCGGGCTCACTCCGCTCCTCCAGACGGTGCCGCGACTGATTGCGACCTTACCGACTTTACTGATGCTTACTTAAAATCACAACTAATCGAAACATAACGTCATGTAACATAATAGATCATCTCTAAATTCCTCCTGAAAGCTGTGATTATCTTCTGATTTTGAACAGATACAGGTTTTCATGCATGATGTGGCCTAGATTCAATATGTCGTACTAGTTCATGCGTTCTTGTCCCGTTTATGTACGGACTGATCGTGAACAAGTGAGGCACGACCTGAAACACAAATTCATTGTGAAGTTCATATTTAACTCACGAAACTGCGCTGGCTCTCATGAATGGGGGGCAGTACATCCACATTGCGGCAACATTGTGAGAGCTGCCTTGCAAGCGGCGCCACGGGCGTGGAGTGTGTGACAGAACTTCACCTGCTTGACTTGGAAAGGATTGCGGTATGTTGAGCCGTCTAACCAGTAAGTACAGATATTTAGAGCGTTTCGCCTTAGTGTGAATGTAACGCTCAACGCCTGTGTACAGTCGTCATCCGGTAACTTGATTGCAAGGGACGCGGCGCGGTTGCGGTGTGTTGCGAGCGCGGCGATCACCTGTTTCCAGCCTATTTTAGTCATTTTCTCCCTAGTTTACGCTGTTTTGGCTGCTTTTCTCACGATGTACATTCCATATTAAAATGGCGAGAGGAGGCGGGGCACTTCCTTGGAACATGCATAGAATGCGTCTTCCTCCGTGGGATATTCCCATTTGAGACAATTGTCACCCTGTCTTGTGTGCTGTGTGGACATTAGATTACACTTGTCCAAAAACGACAATATCCTACCAAAAGCGGGAAACATCATTGGTTGAGGATTTTAGTCGAGTCTGTACGATCCCCTTCCTAGGGAGTGGCTTGATACGACCCCCTCCCCTGAGTTCCCTCCTCTGATACGACCGAGCTTGAGAGGGAGGAGGGCGGGAGAGGGTAGATAGCACATGTGAGACGTAAGAAACAGTGAAAAGTCAACAAGCAGGAGAATTTTCTCCTAACCCGCAATTTTCTTTCAGAAGGCCAATACGACCCTCCTCCCCCCCCCCTGCGCCTCCTGTTGGGATCCACAACGATGACGTGCTCTGATCGGAAGCCCAGCCGATGCCGCGTTCCAGTGAAGTACTTGGTCACGCCCACACCATCTGCAGACTATGGAGTAAATCATTAGCGCAGGCCTGGCGCCCAGCGGATGCGGCAATAGATGCGAATGAGCTTCTGTAGAACAAACAGGTACAGTCATGATCCCTGCAAACGATAGGGTGTGTGAAAAGGGCTTGGCTTGGAGCGCAGCCAGAACAAATTTACCATCGGATGTATTGGGCTCAGGATGGTATTACTGGTGGAAAGAGGGCTCCTTAGCTGCGTTGCGATCTGCGCCGCGTCGCACGCCTTATCGCTTGCAGGAATCATGCAGAAAGAGGAGATCAAAAGTTCCCCTTTTTGTGGGTAGCAGATAGAGGAGCATGAGCTCAATATAAAAGTGGACGCGGTGTTCCAATGATGTTCAACAGTTACGATGTAAAGTTAGCCATACCTGAGGGATCCTGGCTTAATTGCCACTTCGGTATCCATCTCCTGACCGTCTTGGCCGCGTTATCGCTAGGGAACATCTCGTGGAATAGTTTCCTCATATAGAAGGCCTCCTTACTATGAGGCGTGTTATATGGGAAAAGTTCTTCTGCTTTGGAAAACTGAAAAGGAACTATTTAAGGCTGTTCAATACAAATACACACTGTTTTTAGTGGTAAATGGGAGATTAGAATTGACTAGTTCAATGTTCCCTGAATTCCTGACTCACCTCCTCATCTGTGACTTGCCGAGCACAGAAAGCCATCAACTCGTCGATCCAGGAGTAACCTACTCCATCAGAAGAACTGTTCCTTTTGCCTCCACAAGATTTCATGAGGAAGGTACGTCTAAAACGTCGAACTGTTTTTTAATGATTACGTGCTGTCTTTTTTCTTTCTTATTGAATTATTTATATAAAAAGGATAAAGGATAAAGTCTTCGCCGTTGATCAATCCCTTTGTGGGATGCGGCACGCATTCTACTTCCATTCAGAATCGTAGTGGCTTATTGAATGCGATGTGGCCTATACAATGACTTGCGGGGGCCAGCCGATGTACAAGTCAGTGTTTTATCCTCCCAGACGAATCTGGTACCAATTTACCGTCCCCGGAGGGTAGAAGGCTTGGCCTGGGCGGGAGTCGACCCGGGATTTGAACCCACGACCGCGCGAGTGGTAAGAGCGCCACGCGCCAGCGCGGAGGGGCGGGTTTTATGTGTGTATGGTTGTATGTCATTGGTGGAAGGGCAGAGCGGGGTCTGACCAACGCGCTGTTGCAGCCCTCCCACCAATGACGCTGGCAACAACCGCCCGCCTCTAGCAATCGTGCTACTGCCTCTCAGCTCTAACAATGAAGATTATTTAATTTTATTTATAATCTCAACCGTTAGCTGATAACAGTGAGCCGTCGAAAATCCCCCCCCCCTTTATGGATTTCGTGGGCGCGGGGCGAGGGGAGGGTGGGATTCAAAATAGTCATGCAGTTTTTGCTTCCCGGGTGCCTAGAAAAATTAAATGAATCCCCATATCTTACCTCTCTCATCACAAAAGGAATGGAGGAGTAATGAGTTGAAATCGATGATTTCGTCAGCTTACACAAGGAGTTTCATCACTCTATGCTCAGAACTGACTGCAAAGAAGGGCAAAGGGATGAGGATCTCCGTATAGACGACAAGGCTCTGAGTAACTCGATAGTGAAAAAAAAAGCAAAAAAACATTCCAATGGTCCTGTGTGGAACCCCATTCCGATCCCACTTTTACGTGCTAAACTAACTCCATCTTCAGCACTACGCCCTCATCCGCACAGCTGATTCCCCGATAAGAACTCTACGACCGTACAAGTGACGATTTTCATGCTTTTTCGTCCTGCAGCTTCGTTTTTCACTGAAAGGCGGGCCTTGAAGGCGGAGTCTGGAGGCGGAGTCACTGGAAAAAAGAGGCGTCACTGAACCTATATTGCGCTATAGCGCCCCTTACAATTTTTTGCCGCGAAACCGGTACAAGGTTGTTCGTCGCGGACCACACTACCCTCCCGATGCCATATTTTCAACTTCTAAACCTGATCACTGACCGTACCGTTGAGGGCCTTTTTTATTTCTCCTGTCTTTTTTTACGAAATGGTTACTTTACTTCTGACCGCACCAGCTCAGAATATGCCTCTGAAGTAATGAATTATTAACTTGGTAACTTACGTCTGCGTCGAAGGCTTTTCTCAGGACATACTTCTCCACATTACGTCCATTGAGCGCCTGTGGGCGTTTGTATTTCGCTGCCGTCAACATGGTAGCTTCCAGGAATGCCTGAACAGTGGAAATTTCTTCCATGAGCTCGAGAAAATTTCCTCAAAAATTTCTTACCTTATCGAGGAATGGAACACGAACTTCCACAGAGTGAGCCATTGTTGACTTATCAGCTCGGAGGCAGTCAGCAGTGTACAGATGTAGAACGCGATCAATCGTTTCCTGAATACAGTATTTGTAAAAAATATTCATTCGACAAGGCCAATCCAGCCTTAAGCAAATTTCTTACTTTTTGGAATTCATCATCATTGGGTGCATTGTGGAAGTACAAATATCCGCCAAAAATCTCATCAGCTCCTTCGCCGGAGAGCACAACCTAAATTGATGATCAATGAGCTCCCACAGTAATCATTTTCTTCTCAGGACCCACCTTTATGCCCATTTGCCTGATCTTCTCCGAAAGGAAGAACATGGGCGTCGAAGCTCGGATAGATGTGACATCGTACGTTTCCAGATGCCATATCAAGTTACGGAGGTTCTTTAAACCTTCCTGAAAACCACTTGTTTCAGCGGTGTTGTACTAAGATGATGCTTTTTCTCGAACTGATAAAATATTCGTACACAGTTCTACACGACCCGCAGTACGTGCACCGTAGACTGGACTCCGTACCCCGAAAATGGGAGGGGCGTGGTTAGGCACTTAATTTGAGCCGTGGCGGCGATTGCTTTCCTATTACATCGCCGCTTTGACACCAACTGTAATGATGTTTGCCCTTCACAAGGAAGGTTACCAGTTGTCTTGAAGAAGAACAACATCCCAAAGAGTATGAAGTACGCAGCCACGCCCTCCCCAATCTTGGGATATAGGGTGTACTTGGGGAGAACTGTCTCAGGACTGTGGTTCGTGCCAAAGAGATCAGAGAGGAGGAAATAACAATGTGACTCAACCTGAACACTGAAGTGAAATTCATGGATGATGGGTTCCAATGTGCTTAGCCACTATTCGGGCAGCGATGATATCAGGAGACAGATGATCGACCCCAATGGAGAACGAGTGAACTACCAGACCGCGTCGCTTCATTTCACGTGCCGCAATTGAACTGAAATAGAGGAAGTCTGAAGAACCTGACTCAAAATACTCCTCGTTGTTCACGAACCTGACAAGACTCGAGTCAAGTCCACCAGAAAGTAGGATTCCCAGAGGTGCATCTGACATAAGGCGCTTGATCACCGCATTGACCAGAGTGTCGTGGATAAGCTTCAAGTCTTGTTCATGCGTGGCCAGACGATAGTCAACCCATGCCGGCTGTAAGGAAAGACGTATCGTTTATGTGAAGTATAAAAATAATAGCAAGTAATATAAATAGGAGGTAAAAAAGTGACTTTATCACTTCGGAAGCGATATATCGCACAAGGCACTTCTCAGTCACATCGTACAACGAAAAGCTCCATTGATACCCTGCCAATGCCACTCCTCGGGGCCCACATATATTAGTCTGTGAAGGGACCTATACACCCATTTTGCGGCAGAAAGGCATCTTTGATCGAGTTAGAAGAGTTCAAACCCAATCTAGACCGCACAGACCCCGCCCCTCTCCACAAACTTCGCCCTGGAATGGTGCGAGCCGAAAAAAAAAATGGAAACTGCAATACTTATCGTATCTATGACTTATTTAGTTAGGCGTAAGGATCAAATGGCGCTTTCGTTCCTTAACAAAAAAAAATTACTTATGTTTCAACGAATCTGTATTCTTACCTGATAATATCTTACAAAACCTTTGTCAGGCTGGAAGAAATGACCAGGTGGAAAAATTGCTAAAGTGTCCCTGCCGCACACATCCTCGAACGTTTTCATCTCATTGCTGAAAAACGAATTTGTGAGTTCCATACCTCTAAATAGTATCATGTATACTTTGTTTCCATCAGAATAGTTGCCTATTATTTGATTTTAGCCTAGACTACAGGTAATCGTACTACAGCATCAGCTGCTCTTCAGCTATCTCTCACTGAACTTATCTGGGCGTTTTCAGTAGTAACTTTCTAGTATAATTGCATAATTGCGATTTTCTGTTTTTATTGATGAGTGATCTCTTTCTTTCTATTGCTGTGCTGTCCCGGAGCCTTTGAATGGTGTAAATAAAACAAATAGGCTCGGGAAATGTTTATTGCACAAGAACTCAAGTCTCAAAGTAAACTCGAAAACAGCTTGTGGGTTTTTGAAAATATTCAGCCTTGTTCGCTGCGGATCATGGCGTTTGTTAAGGGAGGGGTGACTTTGGCGCGCAGCGGCGTTAGCCATTTCTCAACCAAATGTAGAAGCTGGCAGGCGACTGCAAGTTGAGGGAAAATGGCTGGCGCTGTGCAAAACCCAGCCCCCCCCCTGACAGCCCCACCGTCGCAGCGAATAAAAATGAAATGCAATTGACGATTCGTCCACTACTGCTTAAAGAGGTTATGATGAGTAA